AAGTTTTAAAAGTTTTTCCATGAAGATATTACATAGTCTTTGATAAACTAATTTCTAGACATGATACAGTTTTTGTTGCTATTGTTAATTAAATTTACTTTTTCATAGTTCTGGGTTGGTTAATACTAATATGAGGACATCCTATTGATTTTTTTAAACTGATGTTGTCTCTGACAACTTTTTTGATTCCTTTCTTTAATTCAAATATTTTATTAATTTTAGTTGAGTTTTCCAGGAAACTAAACATATCATCTACAAATAATAATAATTTTATATCATCTCTTTAATTCTTTCAAATATCATTTCTCTTTTTTGTTTTTTTTATTTTAGTCTCTTTTTATTGTTAATCCTATTACAGCTGTTCTCATTTTCTCTCCCTTTCCCCGCTCCCACCCAGTCCCACTCCTCCACTCCCTAAGGCAATCCCCATATTGTTGTCCATGTTCATGGATTGTGCATAAATGTTTTTTGGTGAATCCTTTCACCGCCTTTCATCAGGTCACCCCTCCTTTCTGACAGCTGTCTGTCTGTTTCATGTATCTAAGCTTCTGTTACTCTTTTGTTCATTACTTTATTATGTTCATTAGATTCCATATATAGGTGAGATCGTGTCTCTATTATTGTGTGGTAAGCAATACTGTTCATCCTTGTCTTATTGCTGATTTTTTTTAAGATTTTATTTATTATTTAGAGAGAGGGGAAGAGAGGGAGAGAGGGAAAGAAACTTCAGTCAGAAACATCAGTTGGTGCTTCTCGCATGCCCCTCTCTGGGCACCTGGCCCAAAACCCCAGGTGTGTGCCTTGACCGGGACCGCAACTGGCAGCTTTTCGGTTTGCAGGAGAGCACTCAGCCCTTTGAGCCACACCAGACAGGGCTTATTCCTGATCTTAAATTAATGTTTCTCCCTTAAGTATTTATAGATTTTTTTTTAAATGTAACGTTTAACGCTTTCTTTTCTAGCCCTAGTTTGCTGATATTTTTTTTTTTTTATCAAAGATGGGAAGGGAATTTTGTCAGATGCTTTTTCTACAAAAAGACCTTTCTTTTGTCTTTAGCTGAAGTTGGTACTAAAGGTAGTGGCTTGGGGACATTTTAGGGAGTTTTACTCAGTTTTCCTGGGTATCTCCCATGTGTATAGGAGATATACATGTTATTAAACTTGTTTGTTTTTTCTCTTGTTACTCTGTCTTTTGCTATAGGAAGATCTCAGCCAAGAACCTAAAGGGGTAAAGGGAAAATTATTTTTCTCCCCTACAGTTTTTTATTAGTGCCTTACAGTAGGAAATCGTTCTTTTCTTTATTAAGCACACAGGATGATTATTTTAACTTCTTGGTCTGTCTGTTTCCAGAAACGCTGTTTCAGATGGTCTGTGTTGTTCAGCGTGCTGTCGTTCCTTTCTCGTCTTCACAGCATTGCTGTTTTGGCACATGTATTCGTGTTCTCTAGGGGTGATGGCTGCACTCCAGCGCTGTGTGCTGTGGAAGCACCGAAGGCCTGGCCCTGGTGTGTGTGTACTTCAGGTGAGGGGTGGGGCCAGCCCTCAGCAGAGAGCCCCCGGCATTGCATACCCATTGTTGACAATTCCTGTTTGCTGTCAGCTCACTCGGAGACACCCCTGACCAAGGTTTCACATTTGAACTTCAAGGAAACAGTAGCAGCAGGAGGAAATATTGCTGGGCCATCAGTGTGGGGTTTTGAGAATGGAGGTTTGTGACAGATATCATCTGAGTATGATTGGTCAGCCTGCAAATCTTTGTGTGAACTGGGCACCAGAGTGGGCTTTTACACCATCCCTCCGTCCGCGGCCCGCCCCAGCTACCCTCCACCCCAGGCTCCAGCCCCCTTTCCAACCTCACTCCCGCCCCTGCACTATACCCCCCACACTCCTGCCTCAGATTTCTCAGGGATTTCTTGCAGCTTTTCTATTTATTTGCTTTTTAAAAATCCTCATCCGATGATACGTTCATTGATTTTTAGAGAGGAAGGGAGAAAGAGAGAGAAACATTAACGCAAGAGAGAAATATTGATCGGTTGCCTCCCATTCACGCCCAACTGGGGATCGAACCTGCAACCTTTTGGTACAGTATGACACTCTAACTAACCAGGCCACCCGGCCAGCACCCTCACAGCTCTTTTAGACAATTGCTCTTCCCATTCATGCTTTGCTCACTTTTCTAGTGCTTTCTGGGTTGATTTGGAAAGAAGCCTTCAACAGCCATGTTGCCAAGTGGAAAAGTTTTGACATGATCAAATGCCATGCCAATTGCCTACCAACAAAATTCTGAGACTGCGGGGAAAAAAAAATCACTTACGTAAATCAGTTACATTGTGACATATTATTTGTTATTGGCATAAGATGACTGTGAGCATGCAATCTTTTTCAAACTGTTTAAATGTCTGTGAATGTGAAAGTTGACAATAGATGCCAGAGAAGGAATGACGTACAACACCAGGGTTTGCTCACTGAAGATCAGGGGTGATTGCACCATTTCTACACTGCGTCTCCCCTGTGTAAATATTGAGCCTTCCCTCCTGGGACAACACATCACCTCTCTAGCTGTGTTCCTGGGGTGGTATCGTAAAGAGCACCTGGCAATGGGGCAAGTTGAGAAACAACAAAACACCAGGAACTCAATATTTTTCTACCAAGAAATTCCATCAGACTCCACACCCTTTCCCCTTCTTTTCTCAGGACCTCTCACCTAATTATACAAAAATCTATTCACATTACCAATATGCCTCAGTACTCCTCCCTCACAAAACTCCAGATCTGAATATCACCCCAGACAACAAAAAAAAAGGGCAAGACTTGCCAAAGCGGAGATGGGTTAACCAGTAACAAAATCGCCCGCAGCCTAGGCTCTCCCTTTCCCACCGCAGAATCCGCGTGTGGTTGTGGTGAAAGAGCTGCAGATGTGGAAACACAGCCGTGACAGCCAGGCCATGCTGAGGGGCCACCTGAGATGTGTGGTTGTAAATGTAAAGCGAATCAGTCAGTCCGGTGTTGTGTTTTCTTCAGCCATGTTTAGCTGCTCAGGTACAGGCACAGTTAAGACCAAGAGTAGCTTCAACCGACGTTGAAGGTTTGCTGGGCCAGTCGGACAGAGTGAGTGCATGGCAAGGTGTGTACAAAGGATTATCTATGGTGATGCACCATGAATCATCTGAACTAAGTAAAGAGAGAAAAGAGGTCATGGGTATGATAAAAGGGGGGGGAAAGGAGAGGAAGCAATGGCGATCTCCGTGGGAGAAAAAGGTGGGGGTACTTTAAAAGCGAGCTGGGAAGAGAGAGGCTGTTAGAAAATGGACTGATGAAATTAAGATGTTGGAGGTGGCATAGACACTGTAATGAGAAGGTGGAGAATATGACCACGGAGCGGGAGGCTGGAGTCGTGCAGACAGATGACGGAAGTGGGAACACAGGCGAGGGGCCGGACGGTGCGGGGGCAGGATCACCTATGGGGACAATGACATCACCAAGAACACCAAGAGGGTGGATGGCGGAGAGGAAGGGAGGGACCCATGTGCTTCGGCTTTTTCATGGACAAGGGGCGTGGAGCGAGGCAGTGGGTTGACAGAGAGAGCGAAGGGCACTGGGTGGCCCAGACCGGGTGCCTGTGCTTGAAGAGAGAGGGGCTTTCAAGAGGAGGGAGATGAAAAATACGAGAATGATTTCTGTGTCACTGCAAAGCAAGTACCAATGCTGAGCAGAGGACATAGGTCTTGTTCTGAGCCCTGAAGTACTTTAGAGGGTGGTGACTGAGGGTTGTGACTGAGGAGTGGACCTTGCAAGACAGGCAAACCCACCTTTTGAAAGCTGCAGTCGGAGGCAGAGCATTTTTCAGAGAAAAGGTCGGAAATAAAGAATTTTAAATGCATGGTGGAAGTTCGCAAAGGTGCAGTGAAGGAGCAGGAGGTGGCAGAGCGTGGTGGGAGCCTGCTGGAGGGTAAAGTACAAGGTAAATGGGGACAAGACTCTAAAGGCCATGGAAGACCTAGAAGACTTGGATTTCTGGGGCACCTGTCTGCAGGAAAATAAAGTCACCTCTGTCTCCCCTGAAACAGGAATCACTCGGCTCTTCTCTGTGCCCCACACAGGGCCGTATGAGACAGGGCGACTGAATGACTAGTGAATGAATGCAAGACCCTCATAAAAGATCAAGGTGCCGTGAGAGAGGGGTGAAGACCGAGATTCATTGGAAGATCTGACAACAGGAACCTTTTCACTGAGAAGAGCGAAGTGGAAAGACTGGAATGCGGAGTCAAAAGACACAGTTGGATCTGCAACTTTTCATCTACTAGGTGTAGGTCTTTGGGAAAGCCTTATCTCCTGTCTACTTGCCAGCAGCCTTATCTGTGAAGTAGGTCTTTCCTCCTTAGGAAACTTTGAGCTTCAAATGACAGTCACCTCCAAGGGACCCCTGTACTTCTATTGTCACACTTACTGCGTTCCACTTGGAAGTTGTGTAGAGCTAGACAAATACAAGGGTGATCATAAAGATAGGAGAAATAGAGCAGGCTCCACACCATAGCTGATACCAGCCCTTTGCCTGTGTGCCAATGCTATTAAAAGATTCATTCCTTTTGGTTTTGAAAGACTTATACAAACTCTTATTATGCATAATACATTAAAATAATAATAACTAACTCCACAGAGAGCATTCTCGACCACCAAGTGAGAGGAACTCAGATGAGGAGCTAGGGCCCGAGACAGGCCGGGTGGATCTACCTCAGGACATGTCACCGGGCACAGCATAGCCACCTGAGGGGGCTGGGCATGCCTAAGGCTGCCACAAGAGCCCGGGAAAGGAGCAATCAGAGCCACCAGTTCCTGCACACACCAGGAACAGTGTGACTGTGTACGGTTGGAGAGGTGTTTTCTCTGGCTTGCCCATGTTCTGAAGGAGACCTTTGGCCCAGTTTGAGAAGCCAACTGAGCTTTGATTCGCAGGGCATGACTCCAAGGGCAGGCTTCTTGGGGCCCTATAAAGCCTGACTGAACACCGCCAGGCATCCCTTCCCCGGACTGGTTGTCACCTGCTGGTTTCCTGCTTGCTCCTCTGAAAATGCAGCGGCTGTTGGGTCCAGCGATGCGGGTTTTGCAGGTGAAGAGAGGGATCCAGGAGGCACCTGCCATGGCTGCTCGCCTTCTCCCCGCAGCCGTCCAAAGGTGAGTCACGTCGTTCCCAGGGACCATACAGGGCACTCTTAGAGGAGTGTCATGGAACCAGTAAAAGATGGGCAGAGGACCTGCCACAAGGAAAAGCTCATGAGAATCTAAGTCAGGTGTTGGCAAGGCTTGTGCAGGGCCTTAGCTAAGCATGCCAACCGCTCCAGGTCTGAGCTGCTCCGTCTCTAAATGGACAGCCCCTCAAGCTACAGAGTTCCAGGGTCTCAAACCTCTGACACCTGCTCTTTGTAAGCTGCATGAAGCGATGGAAGTGTCGGTGCCAGGACCCGCGGCCTCCTCCTCTCCGCCACCGTTCCCACCTTTGCCCACAGCCTCTGCCAAGACCTTCAGGGTCCTGTGCCAACGGCAGTGTTAGTAAAACCGGTAGCATCAAGTCTCTGCAGCAAGGTTCAAAAATGACTAAGGATAAGAAGGGTCTTTCTGCCCTCTGATTTCATGAAAGGATGAAATGAGATGTAAAGTGTGTGTGAGTGTGTGCACGTGTGTGCAATCTGCCTGTGCACAGGAGCACCTACGCTCTCCTTTTCTTTGTAAACTCGTCCCCAGTCTAGCTCAGGTGCTTGCAGTCTCCAGTGTGGATGGTGACACAGCCACAGCTGGTACCCCGGGATCCCTAAGCCATCCACTGCAAGCTAGAACTAGCCCTTCCTTTCCTGCCTTTTCTGCACTGCATTCCATGAATGCTTAGAAAAAATGACTTTGATCTAGTGTCTTCCCTTGCCTTGTACCCAGAGAGCCTGGGTGCATGAACATGTGGAGTAGGTGACTCTGTAGCCTTCTTATTTTCCTTGAGGACTCTCCACCATCATCTGCACTGTCCCCGACCCCTTGTGTACAGATCAAATGTCCCAGCTCAGAATTCTGCCTGTGTCTGTATTTGTGAGGAAGGGAATGATGTGGGTTTGTGTGTCTCCATCAGCAGCATTTGGCTGCCTGCCCAGAATGGGCCCTCAGTCACCAGCCTGCCCCTTCTTCTGAAGTGCCTGGGTCAGGATCTTGGAACCATCATCCACATTTCCCTTTTTGGTACATCCACAGAGATTCCCATGTTCTGGGGCCTGGACAAGTATTAAGAATCTTCTTTATGAGTCTCTTTTTCTCTATTTGTCTGTCCCCTCTAATCCAACCTGCAACGGCTCTAAAGGCAACCTTAGAAATTACCCCATCTCAGCACAGGATTTGCTGCCATGAGAATGAAGAAAGAATTGAGCCTCCTGTTCATGGTTGCCACCTGCTTTCCTCATGTGTCACCTCCCTCCCTGCTTCACTCACCACTCAGGCGTTCTTACCTGTTTGGTCACCCCCACTGTGGCTGCTGCCTCTTCAAGCCCCTCCAGTTCTTCATCAGCAGAAACTCCGCTCACCCATCATCAATCTCAAATGTAGCCTCTCCCGAGCCTGCCGTCTACAGGGAATGTGCTTCCTTTGAAGTCTTGTGGGATTTTGCTCTTATGTGTCCCTTGAGACCCTAATCATGCTCTGAGTGGGGGATGCGTAGGGGATGGGCCTATGTGCCTATGTGCCCGTCCCGTTCCTCCGTCTGTCACACAGGTCCACGAGGTCCTTGACCTCCTCTTTGCCCACTCCCTTCGGCCCACAGCCCCTTCTTAGCACAGCGCCTGGCATCTGTGAGCTAATTCTGAAACCCAAGGGAAGATGAGATGAAGTAAAGACATAAAGGCTTGTTGCCCATTCTGGAACCACACGACACCAGAACAAAACCAGTTGTAAAATAATTAAAATGATTATTCTATAAAGAAAGTACAAGATGTGAAAGATACTCTTAATTCCAATGGTCTGTTATTTCTGGAAATCTCTACAAGTTAACTTTTCTTCAAGGCTCTGGAATCCATTTCTAGAACTAGCCCCTTCCCTAGACAGTTCTGAAAGTTACTGAGTGACTGATTCTTGGAACTGTTACACCTTAGACTTCTAACAAGTGGGAGAGGCAGGGAGGGAGCTCAGAGAAGGCGGAGTGAGACTGGGGCAGAGGGGAGAGCCAGCCAAGCTCCGGCAGGACTGCGTGCTGGCTAATCATTAGCTCCTGGGTACAAAGGAAGCTCCTCCACAAATATCTGAGGGCACAAACTCCAATCATTTGGGGGCACCAAGTAAATAGGGAGGAGAGCTAAACTCTAAACCCTCTTGTCAGATAGGAGTGAATGTTTATCCCTTTGCCCCACTATCTTGTGATCACAGGATCCACTTGCCCCACAGGGGTCCTTCAGAGCAACCCTTCTGATGGAGGAGGGGTGTTACCAGCAGCCTAGGAGCCTCAGGATGACTGACAGAAACGCCCAATCAGAGCTGCAGTTCCTGTGGCACAGAGCTCAATGTACAAGTCTGTGGCACCCTCCTGTCCCTCTTCCATGGTCACAAAGTCTGTAGCCAGACACACTCAGGAGTGTCACACATACCAGATGGTGAAGGCACGGAAGGTCTCTAATACATGATGAACTGGGAAGTCACTCTGAGCTCAGGACTTCATTTGTGGGTGCCTTGATCTCACCACCTGTAAAGCGAAGCATTCACTAAAGCAACCAGACCGCAGGTCCTTTTGCACGGGAGCAGGTGGGAGGTGGACAGGGTGAGCTCGGTACTTGCTGATGGAAGAACCCCCGACTGTCAGCGGGGCAGTAGGGTCAGGGTGGAAGAGAGGTGGGGGTGGGGGTCCAGGAAACAAGCAGATTGTCTCTGTCTTCTCCGCTGAACCTTTCCCCGTTTTTTTTTTTTTTTTTCTGCTGGCACTTAGAATTGCTCCCTGCTCTCTGTATTCCTCACAGCCTTTGCTTGTTCCACTATGTGTTCATCTGTAAAAATATCTGCCTCCTCCATTAGACTGTGCCCTCTTGTTGGACACAAAGACTGTCTTATTCACTCCTGTGTATCTGGAACCCAGCACTGTGCTGAGTATGTTCAATAATATTGGGAGGTCCAATCAAGAAAAACAGGGAGGATGAAATCAAGCGGAAAACTTCTTTAAAAAGTAGAGAACCAGCAAGTATGTCCTTGTGTAGAAAAACAAGAAAGAAGAAGAGAAAAGACAATGATAGGGGCACTTTAAAAATGAATGAAATTTTAAAAATTATGTCCTCGGGGGTTTATAACATGTAGCAGTACACTATGTGACGGTAAGAGCTCAAAGGGATGAAGAGAACAAATGAGGTTAAACTAAGGTTTTGTACTGTTCAGAAAGTAGAAGAAGAATTATGCTATAAGCCACATATGTATAATGTAATCACTAATATATTACTAAAAGAAAAAGAGGAGGTAAGTACTTGCTTAATCCAAAAGAATACAGGAAAAGAGAAATAAAAAACATACGATGCAAATAGAAACAAATAGTGACATGGTAGACTTAATCTTAAATATACCAGTAATTGCAATAAATATAATTGGGTTAATTATTCCAATTAAAGCACCAATATTGTAAGACCTGTTAAAAATGTAAAAAGATCCAACTATATGCAGTTTAGAATAGATGCATGTGAAATATAAAAACCATAAGAGGTGAAAAGAATAAAAGAACAGGAAAAGATACACCAGGCAAATGATAATCAAAAAACTAAGGCGACTGTATCAACCTCAGGAAAAGTAGACAGAATAGCAAGAATATCACACAGATAAAGGATATTTAATAAGAAAGAAACCGGTCAATCCAAAGAAATATGTAACAATTCTAAATTTATATTCTTGTAACGTAGCTTCAAAATATATTTTACAACTGAGTGAAATGATTGCCATATTGTTTTTTTTAAAGAGTTTTTTATTTTTATTTTTAGAGGGGAAAGGGGGGAGAAAGAGAGGGAGAGAAACATCAATGCATGGTTGCTTCTTGTGCGCCCCCTACTTGGGACCTGGCCTGCAACCCAGGCATGTCCCTACTGGGAATCAAACCAATGACCCTTTGCTTTACAGACCGGCTCTCAGTTCACTGAGCCTCACAAGCCAGGGCCAATCACCATATTGTTTTTTGAGGAAACTGGCTAGCAACCATTTGTGGGATTTTGATTCTTATTTCCACTGCAGGTTTTCTACAGTCCCTGCTGTCCCCTTGGCCAAAACGAATACTTGGCCAAAGGATGTGGGCATCCTTGCCATGGAGCTGTATTTCCCTGCCCAATATGTGGACCAAACAGACCTGGAGAAGTATAACAATGTAGAAGCGGGGAGGTACACCGTGGGCTTGGGCCAAACCCACATGGGCTTCTGCTCAGTCCAGGAGGACATCAACTCCCTGTGCCTGACGGTGGTGCAGCAGCTGATGGAGCGCACGCAGCTCCCGTGGGACTCTGTGGGCCGGCTGGAAGTGGGCACCGAGACCATCATCGACAAGTCCAAGGCTGTCAAAACAGTGCTCATGGAGCTCTTCCAGGACTCGGGCAACACTGACATTGAGGGCATAGACACCACCAATGCCTGCTACGGTGGCACTGCCTCCCTCTTCAACGCTGCCAACTGGATGGAGTCCAGCTCCTGGGATGGTATGTGCCCCTAGAGGTCTTATGTAAGAAAGGGGCTGGGGTTGGAGGCTGAACCCTTGGAGCTGCTGCCCCTGTTTGCCCAGGTGGCTTCATCCAGGGAGGGAGAGACAACTTGTTCACACAACCACCATGATGGTAGCCACTTAGACTTGTACAGCTTTATACAGTAACAAGGTAGCGTGTCCACACAGCCGTTCATTTATCCTTGGCACGTGCTAGGAAGTGGCTGTTACCCCTGATTTATAGATGAGAAAGTGGGAGATCTGATATCTTACACATTGTAAGATATCGATTACATAGTGTCATCGATTTGTCTTTATTTTTTCATTACAAGAGAGCTTCAATATTTTTAATGATGTATATTGGCCATTTTCCTGTTACATACTTTGTCTTTTTAAGTGAGACTTTTATAAAAGAAGAAAAATAGCTTTTTGCTGATTATAAGAATTGCAAATACTTCTCCACTTTGTCTTTGAGTTTGTTTCTGATAGGTTTTAATTTTTGAGTTTACTGATTTTTTTCCTTAATAACTTCTAAATACATACATAAATATAGATGGCTATATACAAAGATATATATATATATATTTCTTTGTGTGTATATATATATTCCATATATATATATATATGGAAAAAATATTTTTTTGTTGGAGTTGGAGCTGGAGTTGTTATAGTTCTTAAAAGGAGGATCTTGAGTTTCAATGAATTTGTGTTAGAACCCTGACTGACTTCTGAGTGTGCCATCTATTAGCTGTGTGGCTCTGGATGAGTGACTTAAGTTCTTTGGGCCTCAATTTGTGTATAAAAAGGTGATAACTGTATCAGATATAATTCTCACTTATCATGAGAATTAAATTATATACAAATATGCACTGCCTCATTGGATGGTTTTAAGGCTTGTTTGAGGATAACTAGTGTCTAGCTAGTTTTTCAAATGTTAGTTTCCCTTCCTACCTCTTCACCTATGGGGAGGAATTTCAGCCATGGAGTGGCTAAAGGTACCAACCTTAATTACTTCCTAAAGTGCCAACCAGTACATTTTTCATTGAAGTCTGAATAAATGAGCATTTTATAGCTAGAGTGACAGGACATTGAGTTTGGACTTTGTATTTCAAACACGTCATGATGAGTTTCGCTAGAATGTAAGCTCCATGGGGCAGGGATCTTTGGTCTTGTTTGCTAGTTTCTCCTTCAAACCTAAAATTGTGCCTCACACACAGGAGGCCCCCAGTCCTCTCGATTTGGTACTGAGGATAATTATTTCTTGTCTGTCATTACAGGTCGCTATGCAATGGTGGTATGCGGAGATATTGCAGTGTATGCCAGTGGAAACGCTCGCCCCACGGGCGGGGCCGGGGCCGTGGCAATGCTGGTTGGGCCCAACGCTCCCCTGGTCCTTGAGAGAGGTTTGTAGTGACCTGCAGATGCATGGTACTGAGAGGTCGTGCACAGCATGGCCAAAATGCATAGCTCCCGATGCCAAATTGGCATACCCACTACACAAGGCTAAAGGATGGATTTGAGGACATTGCTTGCTTTCAAAAGGCTGGACTGGGGACTGCAGAGCAGAGGGCAGGGAGAAAGGGAAGAGAGCAGTCAGGGAGGTTTCCCCTTCTGCACCATCGCACGTTGGGTTAATGATGCGTGGAACAAATGGTGCTGATGCTGTCAGCAAGGACCTTATGGAGCTAAACTGGCAACCAGAGATGAAAGATGGTAATTGGGTATAAAATAAAAGCCTTTCCTGTCAGAGTTTTGGCGTCTATTCCAGATTTTGTTAAGCCCATATAGGTGTGGAAAGAGAAGTATGTCTCATGTATATAAGTGTAACAATCTATTCAACTGCCTTTGAACGTGTGAGGGATATTGCATGGGCTCAGGCTCAGGCATCAGGCAGAGAAAGATCAGGAGACTGCGCATGCTGTAGTTCTCCCACCCTCTCAGCTCTGCGCGGGCTACACTGTGCAGTGTCTGAGTTCCACCATGTGCCTTGCCAGGGCTTCGGGGAACCCACATGGAGAATGTGTATGATTTCTACAAACCAGATGGGTCTACGGAATACCCAATGGTGGATGGGAAGCTCTCCATCCAGTGCTACTTACGGGCCTTGGACCGATGTTACACAGTATACCGTCAAAAAATCCAGAACCAGTGGAAGCAAGGTATGGGGCTGAGAGGGCCAAAAGAGGGGGCTCTATGTACATGGGGTCGAGTTTGTCTTAAAAGCTTAAGACAGGGTCTCTTCTCTCCTCTGAAAATGAACTCAAGAGAATTATTTCATGTTCCCTTCCTCTTACGCCTGTCCTGGGGTCTATGCTCAAGTCTACTTGGAAGTCATTCAGATTCTAGGCCATTGCCTCTAACTTGAGCTAAATAAAGAAAGTAAATCTAGAAAAGCCACCATCCGAAATGAGTGAATGTCAGCCCGTGCGGGAGGTACGGTGGCAAGTCAGAGCGGCCACATCCTGCTGGGCTGAGGATTTGCTTCAGCTTAAGTCAGCAGTGAATTGACTCTTAGTGGGTAGTTTACCACCTTTTAAAGTCTGGCTGATGTTGAAAAATTGTACCTGTAATTTTGGTATACTGTTATCAGTGATTTTTCTCTGGATGGTGGTGTCACAAGTTGATTTTATTTTCACCTTTAGTTTCTAAATTTTCCTGCTTAAAAACAGGTAGTGCTTTCTCATCAGAAAAGAAACACATTTTATTTTTAAAATATAGAGAAAGTTCCTTTTAAAATATAAAAAGGGTTCTTACCCGCTTAGCCATGCCCAGATGGGCACCCATGAAAGGCAGGTGTCAATGAGGGAAAAGGCAAGCGCTGAAGCGCCAGCGCATGATGCTATAGGGGCGGCCTGAGGAGCCACTTCTCGCCCTTTGCACTGCAGTGGGTGCCATGCCAGCAGCTACAGCCGCCCCCCCCCCCCGCCCCCGCCATGGGTCAGGAGTTTACCAGGACCTCTGCCTTTGCCCACCCACTGCAAAGCTGCTATTGGCTAATTGCTTTCTCCTCCTCTAAATTCTTATGGTGTTCTAATTTTACTCCATATTCTCCTCCAGAATTTGAACAATGCTGCTTTGGAGTCAGCACTAAATTGTAAACTTTCCTAAGGACAGAGGGTACATTGTCCTCCTCTTCAAAGTGAGAAAAATGAAGTGTGGAGGCGGAGACCTCAGAACCTGAATGCAAAGCCAGCCATTTTCAGGCTGGGTGACCCTGGACATGTAACTTAGCTTCATATTTTGTGGACATTGTTTCCTCCTCTGGCCAACAGAGAAAATAATAGAACACAAGGTTGACTGGGAGGAATTATGTGTCATAGAGGTTGGCAAAAGTAGATAGGAAGAACGTGTTTGTTTCTTTCCCTTCTTTTTTATAAGTAGGGTGCTTAGTGAAATGCTTGTAAGATGGATGAGAAAACCTTATGAGTGTTTGCTGGAGGCAGGGCCCAGCATCCCTCGCCACAGTTAGATCTTGGAGCCAAGGTCTAAGTGGCTTATCTGTCCATCATGCCACATCCTTGTTTTCATACTTCCTCTTCCAGCTGGCATCGACCGACCTTTTACTCTCGATGATTTACAGTTTATGATCTTCCACACACCCTTCTGCAAGCTGACCCAGAAATCCCTGGCTCGCCTGATGTTCAATGACTTCCTGTCTGCCAGTAGCGACACAGAAATCGGCCGCTACAAGGGGCTGGAGGCCTTCAGGTGAGTCCTCTTTGTGGGGAGCACAGAGGCCAATGAGAGGTGAGGAAGGAGGAGGCTTCCTCACGCCTTGAGTCTGGCCACCAGCTGCTCTTGTGGGGAATAAAGGACACTCCTCCAACACAATAGAAATGACACCAAGTCTTACCTGGGTTATTGGTCACGTAGGGTCCTCCACCTTTTCTCTCAGGGAGCACAAGGAGTTTGCCAGCACCTCTGGGTCAAGTGACTATAAGAAGCTTCAGAGAATAAGAAAAAAGGAGAGAGAGTGTGGTTATGTCATTCAGTCAATAAACGTCCCATGAACGTCAGCTCTGTGTCAGGCATACAAACTCCATGGGCACAGGAATGACTGTGACTCCATGATCTTTGCCTAGAAGCTCTCGCAGTCTATATGGACAGAAACACCTAGAAGCAAATAATCTCAGGACAGGACAGCAACCCAGGGAGTGTCCAGTCCCATTCTCATTCACCATCGACCTCATTAATGTCTTGCTTGTTGCCTCAGTTTACCCATCAATGAAATCAAGATAGTCCAGCTCACCCTCTTAGAGGTCAATAAAGCAGGAAGAATATCATTTATTGATGCATTACTCTGAGATATTTGGAAAAGAAGGCTCTTCAATACAGAGAGTTCCCACTAGGAAGAGAATATTCCCTTTCTCTTTGGTAATTGTTCATGTCAAGTTTTGTAATACGTTACCAACATGTGCCCCTATCACAAACTACTACCAATACTAGCCCTGCCACTGACTAACATATCAAAATTAGCAAAAACATTGCTTATGGGATCTGATCCATTAAAAAAAAAATTCTAACATATACCAAAGATAATAGCCTAATATCTTAATAAATGAAAATCTCATCAATAAGATAAACACTTCAGTAGAAAACTGAGCATAGGATATGAGTAAGAAATTTCCTCAGAGAAGAAATGCACATAATCATCTTTTTAAATGTGCATGCTCATTAGTAATAAAGTTAAACAAGTTACAGTGTTCTTTATGCAGCCCTTTTAAAATTTGAATACCCAGAATTGATGAGGCTATGGGGACGTGAGTGATAGTGGGTCTATAAATTGATACAAGGATTTTGGGGAGCAATAGGAAAACATGAAAAAAGGGCTTAAAGATGTGCATACCTTTTGACTCAGCAATTTCACATTTGTAAAACAACATGCAACTTTTCATTGCAGGATTTTAACTAGTGAGGACAGGAACGGGCAGATGGTCCAAAGTAGGGTCACTCCTATCATGGCCCATTCTTGCAACCTTTAAAAATAATATTATAGAAGTGCTTTAATGTATAGAGAAAACAGTGAAGGAAGCATGCTAAACAGAATGTAAGCATGGTTTTATTTCCCAATAAACTATGTGAAAGTAGGGATGGATTCCACAAGAAAAACATGACTTGAGTGCTCTCTCTGAATGGTAGGAATGTGAGTGACATTTTCTTCTTTGTGCATTTCTGTACTTCTAAATATTCTATAATAAAAACATGTGCCCAAGAGCCCTCTCTCCAGAAGTGTTTCTTTTGCCCTTGCCGCCTCCCTGCCCTCCTGTGGCCTCTCACCTGGCCTATCGCTCTGGCTGCCTCACAGGGGGCTAAAGCTGGAAGACACCTACGCCAACAAGGAACTGGAAAAGGCTTTGCAAAAGGTCTCTCTGGACACGTTCAACAAGAAAACCAAGGCCTCCCTTTACTTCTCCACGTACAACGGGAATACCTATACCTCGTCCCTGTATGGGTGTCTGGCCTCACTTCTGTCCCAGTGAGTACTGACTGCGTCTGGCCCCACCTCCTACTCCCTGTCCCCCGCCATCGTTGGAGGGGTCAACTAAGTTTGCTTCCTCTTCTGCTTCAGAATTTTTTTCTTTAGGAAGGAAGAGAGGGAGGGAGGGAAAGAGGGAGGAAGAGAGAGGGGGAGGTGAAACAAACTTGTTTTAAAGGTATGTATTGGAGGTTTACTGTCAATAATAAACAGTCATCTCCAAAGCAAAGACCATGTATTGTCAGGGGATGTGCAAGATCTACTTAATGGAGCAAGAAAATAAAAGGAATTTTATGTATATTTTTATCTCATCCATTTAAAATCTCTATACTTAATAAAGCGTAGTGGTTAAGAGAGTCTAGCTTTAGATCCTACAACTTAGGTTCAAATCTCTTTACCACTTACTAGCTTTGACTTTGGGAAAATACTTAACTTCTATGTGCCTCACTTTCCCCATCTATAAAGTATGTACAACAACAATATGTGCCTTCTAGGGTCTTGATAAATGTTAAACGTCTAAAGCAATTAAGACTGTAATGCTCTGCAGCTACTCAAATGTTAATTGTTATTTCTATTGACATTCTGTTTTGTGGGTTTTTGAAGGAAATACTTATACTATAGTACATACATATACTATAGGAGATATATATAATATAATATATATATCTCCTATATGAAATTATTACTAATGAAGGGATGGTAAAAAGAGTTACAAGGGCTGAAGCACTACCAGTCAACACAGAAGCCTGAAGGTGGTCCAGCGGTCTACTCAGAGATGCCTTCAGAGTTCACCGAACTCACCTTATCCTCATGTCAGGGAAAGCTCCTTTCCCAGCCTGAAATCTTATGTTCACTGTGCCTTCTGTGTCTTGGGTTTTATCTGCTCTCTTCTTGGCATGTTTTTCTCCTCCTGGGCCTATCCCCAGGGCCCCAAAGTCCCTCTTCTTGTAGAGTGCTGGGAACTCATTTCCAGCTGCAAAGAAAGAACTAGATTGGGCTGATAGGTTGGGTGTTTATTAGAGGTACAGAATATAATGGCAATGTGTTTTCTAACTTTTGATTCCTTTCCCTGCAGGTACTCTGCCCAAGACTTGGCTGGCTCCAGGATTGGTGCCTTTTCTTATGGCTCTGGCTTGGCAGCGAGTTTTTTTTCACTTCAAGCGTCCCCAGATGCTTCTCCAGGTGGGTCCTATCTTTTTATCAGGCACTTCTGGCAAACTTCATCTGGTAAAAGGAACAAGTTTCTGCCTCCTCTCCACTGAGGTTCCCACCTTGACAAAACAATGTGATTAAAAGCAAAGGAAACCCCTAAAGGGATTTGAGCAATGGAGTGTGTCTAATCTATGTATGCAAAGCACTTCCCACACTACAGGCTAGAGACCATACTGAAGAGGAACAAATGTAAATATGGGGAAACCAGTCCAGGCAAGAGTAATGATGGCTTGGTTGCAGCTGGTTAAGGAGAAGTTGGTGGATTTGAGACATACCGACAATAACTGTTGATTGTCTTATGACAAATGTAACAACAGTCACACATCTGCCTTGACTAAATGAGCGTGCCTGCTCTTATCTTTTGCTAGCATCATGTTTGCTGACCATTTTCGTTTCTTGGCATTCTAAGCCACACACAACGTACAGTGTACTTTCCTCCAGGGTCTGAGCTCCCACAATACCTGACAGACTGGTAATTGGCAGCAGTGATGATGAAAATGAGGCAGGCGTGTCAATCTTGCTTTTGCTTTCCAGGTTCCCCCCTAGAAAAGCTGGTATCTAGTATGTCAGACCTGCCAAAACGCCTTGCCTCCCGGAAGCGTGCGTCTCCTGAGGAGTTCACAGCAGTAATGGAACAAAGAGAACAATTCTACCACAAGGGTAAGACAAAGGCGGGAAGAGAGAAGGAGAAGGCAGTTTTTCTCACATTCTCTGCCAGTAGACGACAGCCAGGGATACATCGGAAGTCTAGAATACAGCGGGGCAAGGTGCAGCAGTCTCTAAGATATGATTGGGAGAAGGTCTGTTAAGTGCCAAGGGGCAAGAACTAGGTAGGGAAGCAAAAGACAGAGTTGGGAAGGGTTAGCAGGCAACATGTGGCTTCTCAGTATGGATTGTAGCTAAACACCCAAAACAGGGTCCTGGCCAACGCAGTCCCGTGGAAGCCAGGTGTATGGGCTTTGAAAATGCCATCTATGTAACAGCTGAAAGAGCCCAGACTTAGGAGCTAGATATCCAAGTGTAAACTGACTTGTGACACTCATAAGCTCTGTATCTTTGGGAAAATTATGTCTCAGTTTTCTCATTTCTAAAATCATACCAACTTTGTCCTGGCTGGTGTGGATCAGTGGATTGAGTGCTGGCATGTGAACCGTAAGGTCACTGGTTCAATTCCCTATCAGGACACATGCCTGGGTTGTGGGCACGGTCCCTGGTTGGGAACATGCAAGAGGCGGCCAACTGATATAGGCAACCAATTGACGTTTCTATTGCACATCAATGTTTCTCTCCCTCTCTTTCTCTCTTCCTTCCCCTCTTTCTGAAAATAAATAAATAAAAATCTTAAAAAAATAAAACAAAATAAAATAAAATCATACTATAACTTTGGGAGATCGCCAAGCAAATTAAATAAATGAATATATTAAAATAAGTTATGAACAAAATTGACTATCCCCACTCAACTGCCCTTTTCCCCCACCAAACATAAAAACTAAATATTGCCCCAAAACAAGTAACAAAAGTAAACCGAAGCTAATGGTATGACTGGAGAGACCAGATGGTGATTTTAAAATCAGAGTAACTGTATTTTCTCAAGCAAACCTTGAGACACATGGCTTGCACTGTGGTCTAAAAATGGGACAGAACATATGAAATTGAGAATGTTCCAGAAAACCGTGATGTAGTAGTCATTGATTTCCTCTGGAACAGGGGACACGTTAGAGCAAAGAAGAGAAGAAATAAAAATAAAAATAGGACGTCTGAGATGAACATCAATGGACAAAACACGGAAATACACAATAAATCAGAGCCAGAACCCTTAGGACGCAGAAGTGTCTATTAGAAAACAGGAAGCTCTGAGGTGCACCTCAAGCTAAGGACACGATGAAGATTTCATGGAGGCAGAGCACGCTTACTGTAGGACAATGTCATACTCCTGCAATAAAATCTCCAACAGCCGAGCCGTAAGTGCTAGATCCAAGACAGCTGCTTCTGGTCCTTCTGCTGGTCCGAGCTCTGCTGGGTGTATACAAATGACCTCACACCCCTTGCCACTCAGCCAGGAGAGCATCACAATGAAGCCACAGGTGTCCCTGTTACCATTGTCTCCTCTCTAGCTGCATGTAGCTCTTTTTGAGTGCTGCCTCTTCTTCTCCTTCCACAGTGAACTTCTCACCCCCTGGAGACACAAGGAGCCTCTTCCCAGGCACCTGGTACCTGGAGAGAGTGGATGAGCTGTATCGCCGGAAGTACGCCCGCCGTCCAGTCTGAAGATGGTGAGTGAAGTGTGGCAGGGCTGGCGGCAGAAAGTTCTCCCTCTGCCTCTGAGAAATGGATGAAGTTCTCATAGCGTAACTGGGCCTGGGAGGGTTTGTAGCTCCTGAAATGATTGGAGGTAGGGAGTCTGTACCATGAAGACCAAGAGAAACACAAGTCTCTTTGCCCTGGAAAGCCAAAAGCACAGGCAACAAGCATGTTCTTAAATCCTGAATGTAAAAAAAAAAGTCAACTTGTTTATCTGATCTGCTCATGATAGGAAGCTCCCCTAAAAGCTTGATAAAATAAAATTAGCTCCCATAAGGGGCACAGGCTGTTACTATGAACCTATGGAACTATTACCCCAAAGGCCTAAGATCAGGAAAGGCACACTCCAGTGTGGTGGGAACAGATTCATGAAGAAACAGGATCTTAAGGAGAGAAGTTTCATGAAAGAGGATTGGGGCCAGAGGAGAGTTTGGAGAATTCTTTAAGATACTTTTTAAAGGAAAATCAAGCATTCAGAATTAGAATCTTGTAGTTCATGGGCCCAGATATCTGCCTTCAATTTATCTTCCAAGTTCGTAAGATAAGCAGAGAAGAAAAGTAAGAAAGAATTTCTTTTGCGACCCATGCATCTCAATAAATACAGTCCCATGCCCAAATACTTCCTCTATATTTTTCTGGTATATTTATTGTTTCCCTCCTTTGGTAGATGAAGGGGGAAGAATAAAAAGGTTTGACAAGCGCCACCAGGGCAGGGTGTGGAACAGGAGACCAAAAGGGAGAAGGCCACAGATAAAGGAGGCACTGAGATAAAGCAGGGGAACGACTGGCTGAGGGGGCCCTCCGCCCTCTCCCCGCCACGCCAGGTGCTCGCCAGGTGCTCGCTGCTGGGCCTCTGCTGCCGGCTGGGCCGGAGAAGGCAGGTTCCATAAGCAGGCTCGCCAGGTAGACTCTGATACTGCCAGGAGTCGCTTGCTTGTTTGTTCGTTTGTTCATTTGAAATATGGTTCTTAAGGGAAAGTCAGTGGCAAAGAGGGGGCTATTAAAATATCAAACTAGTTTAGTCATCGTAAGGGGGCAGGGGAGAGAATTAGGGAGGGAGAAAGAGAAATTTGGTGTGTTTTGGAGAGAGGGGGGAATGAAATGTGGGATTTGAAGGGAGAGTTTCGGGGTCCTGCTCCTTCCTCTCCTGGTCGGCAAACCTCTCAGGCAGGATTGCACCCCTGAAGGGAAAGGCCACAGCCCTTGGACTTGTCTTCACAGTCACTCCCGCGGGAACAAACCTGCACCAACGCGGCCGTCGCTGAAGCAGGACTTCAGACCAGTGCAGAGCTCTGCAGGTCCCCGCGCTGCCCGCCCTCCCCGGCTTGTCCCCCTCAGACAGGCTGTGTCACGGGGGCTCTGCCAGCCCCCAGCCTGGGTGCCCCTGGCATGGGGCGCAGGTCCCACAGCAGTCAGGGTTTAAGGCTGGGGGCCGCACCGTGGAGCACCCGGGCCTCAGGGCACATTTAGGAGAGCCTCTGCCGCACAGCCTCCCGCCTCGGCAAGAGGCAGGGACCGGGGGTGGGGCTGCCCAGGATGAGATTCACGATTCAATATCCTTTTTTTTGTTTGTTTGTTTCTTTAAATTCTACAGCTCCAAGGAGTGGTCCCTGGGAAAAGCACGCTAGCAGAGCTTTTACCCACGAATCAAGTAAAAAAGGAAACAGACAACGACCCACTCTTAGCTGGCAAATAGATCGGATTGCACACACTAGCCCCGCAAGCCCTGGCCCTGTTGAGTGACGGCCCCCCTCAGTGGGTCCTTCATGCCTTTTCCTGCTGTTGTCACTGTCATAGGCTTGTGACTCTGTGGGTCAGGGGCCCTTTGTGAAAAAGAGAGCTGGAGAAAAGGCCTAGCCTTGACCTTCAGAAATGTGGCAGATTGTCTCCAAGATCCAGATAACTCGCCTATCATTTGTTGTAACTTTTGTTTTTGTTATTATTATTAAGTTTCTGTGCTGTTATATCTTTATTCTTTCTTTCAGTTTTCTGTGAATCTCTAAATTTTATACCTGGTACTAAGCTAATATAACACCATTAAAAAGATAGAGAAGTGAGGAGGGCAAGAGGTGAAGGGGGTCGATTCTATGGCACTAGATGATAACTAGACTTTGGACCTGGCCGGCATGGTTCAGTTGGTTGGAGCGTTGTCCGGTGAGGACAACATACCTAGGTTTGGGTTCACCCCACGGTCCGGGCCCCTACAGGAGGGAAATCGATGCTTCCCTCTCCCATCGATGTTTGTTTCTCTCTCCCTTCCTCTCTCTCTAAAAAGCAATGAAAATAACATCCTTGGGTGAGGATAAAAAATAAATAACTAGACTTTGGTAGGTGATCACTTTGTAGTGTGTACAGATGTCAAATTATAATGCATGTTGTACACCTGAAATTTACATAATAAAAAAATAAAAGGCAAGAGAGACAACCAAGCCCCAATTGTGCATGGAAACAACAATCACAAGCAAGAAAGCAAAATGAAATACTCAAAAATGCACACCAGCTGCCACGCAGAGAAGCCTGCCCTGCCCCCTGGCTCCGAGGGTCTGCTCCTGACCTCGCGTCTCCCACTTCAGCAGGACGACTGCTGAGCAAGCACCTCCCAGTCTCCCCTCTCCCTGGCCATTCCATCCTCTGAGAGGTTCTGGGGAAACGAGGCGGGGGGAACACACAGCTTGGGCCCCCAGCTTCCTTCCCTGATCTAAAGATGCCCCACAGAGGACAGTCCGCCTGCAGGGGCCACAAGTGACTGCCAGAGCTTGTAGATCAAAGCTCCTTGGTCTTTATCAGTGTTATCTGAACAAATAAACACAGGGCAGAGGTTAATAGGTCACATTTTTGGCTCCTCCAGCCAAAAAAACCCACTGTGGATACCTAGCAGGGAATTTCTCCATGAGAGGATTGTTTGTTCCCCTTGGACGAGGGCACTGCTTGTTCCAGGTCCCTTTTACAAAATTGCAGTGGTTCAGGGAGGTGGGGACTGAGCGAGAGGGGCCTGGGAGGAGGGGGAGGGCGCCAAATTGTTGTCATTCATTTCCTTTTAAAAAGTTTCTTCAGCCACCCCAGTGAGAAAGGGCACTTTGGAGGGGAGACTGTTTCCATTGGGGGGGAGCAGGGCTGGCTGGGGGCCTGGGGATAAGGGGGCAATGGACAGAGGCAATGAGGTGCTGGGCCCGCCCACTTTGCTCTTTGCCCAAGGCTGTTCATGTCCCAACAGGCACCAGAAAATCTGAGATAAACCCCAATTTGAGCAGCTAATCCAGCATCAACTGACCCTCTTCCCAGGCTCTCCCCAGGTGCTTGCTCAACGCCCACTCGACTGCACCAGCTGTGACTGCCCCTTAGCAGCCCCTCTGCTAACCCCCTGGCTGCCTGCTCCCCCGGCAAGCTGTGCGGGGGCCCTCAGTCTAGCTGACATGCCTGGCAGGATGACAGATGCCTCTCCTGAGATCTCCCAAGTAGTGTCTGCAGCCAAGAGAGAAAAGCCCACATTCACCTGCTTTCTTGAGATTAGAGACTCTGGGACTTGCCTTTAGCTCACTGAGGGCTCCTGAACTGCCTCCGTGGGCCCCAGCGACTGAGACCGTCCACAGCACCCGGTGCCGGGGCCAGACCAGCCTCCACTCAGCAGCCACGTGGACAAAGCGCGGGGTTGATGTTAAACATATTTAACAGTGAGGGTATCAGGGTGCTGACCGGTGGAATGGATGCTGCCCATAGTTCTGCACGCCTGCTGGAAATCAGCCCTGGTTCAACTCAGGGCGCTCAGGATGACACCGGTCATTGCCACCATGACACAGAGAGAGGTTCCCACTTCCTTCAACGCCCCTTCTTCACGGACTTTGACACTGAGCCCTAGGCCTTCCTCTCGTCGCTCTGGGATCCTTCGACTCCTGCTGGTTCTGAACAAAGCTCTCTCTCCCTGTGTAAGGTCAACACAAGAGGAAATGATTTTCCAATCGCCCTGTTGCCATTTCACTCTGAGGACAGCTGATGTCACGCAGATAAAGAGCTTCCCAGTGTGGGCAAAAAATCAGCCAGGGGACCCAGGGCAGGAAGGAGGAAGTGATTACTAGAAGAGGACACGGAGCCATGTTGTATTCTTCCCATGCAAGAGTACATGGTGTGTTATAGTAAAACAGCCGTGAAGAATGGTCCACCCAGCCCACTGACCGCGAGGCAGCCTCAGGTCTCCAGGAGGCACACTGAACACATGTACTCCACACACACACACACACACGTTTCTGAAATCTCAGCGTTCCAGAATCCTGAGGCCAGTTCCCTCATGTTCCAGTATTTACTGCCTCCATCACTGAGCTTATGAGAACCTTCTGGCGGTGGGTCTTCCCGGCCAAGATCCACAAGACTGAAATTCCACTCTGAAGTCAGGTGGTACAGAGATGCCGGAAACCAGAGTAACGCAGGGGAGTAAACGGCACTCTCTGTGGGGCATCAGGTGGGTTTTTAAATTAATCTTGCCTTTTTAAATTCGGGAGTTTACGCGGACACTCACTGAGCAGGACAATGCCGTGAAGCTGCCCCATGCCTTGACATGCCACTCATGTCCAACAGGGTAGTGTGGAATGCTCAGTTTGGGTTCCTAGAATTGTCTGGACACCTCAGCACAGAATTTGGTTTTGTCTAGGGAATTTTGAGAGAAAAGGCTGAGAGGCTGAAAACTGAGCTCAATTTTTAATGTCATTTATCTCTGCCTGTTTTTTTCAGTTCTCAGTGGGCTCAAGGGACCCCCGCACCAGACACCACGCAGTGCACAGACCTCTCTTCAGTAGGAGGGCACAAGTTGTCTGATAGTCAGGATACCCCATCCAGACCTGTCTGAATATTATGAGAGGGTCAAGGCGAAGGCTCTTTAATGTAAGTTCTCTGTAAAAGACTGAGATCTGCTTATCTACTCAAAGGCACAGGAATGAAAAAAACAAGGCTCATCCACGGCCGCTGGTCCTTCCCTCAAACACTGCGTTGAAAGTCAGAGCTGCTCAAGGCCAACCTTGCTGGTCTCATCCAGGCCCACTGCCTTCCGGGCCTGCTACAGCAAGGTGTCCACATGCCAGTCCGCTGAGCTCTCTGCAGACGCCAGCCCGGCGTCCTGCCTGCCAACCTTTAGCCCAACCACAGCACGGAGGCGGCCCCCGTGGTGCGGTGGCCCTGTCATTACCAACTGGATGCCCTGTGCCAGGCATTAAACCTGGGCAGAAGCCTCAAAAACAGAACCTGCTAGGCCCGAGGTAGAGGTGCATCATCCTCTGCGAACAGGGAAAATCCCTCAAAAGGTGAAATCCCTAGGATCAGGGAGCACCCTTCTCTGCTTCATGAAAATCAGCTTTAAAAAAAACGTCGTGATATACTCTCGAACCCACACGGAGCTGGCTTTGTAAACTCGCCTGATCTTCTCATGCTCCACATCTCACTCACTCTTCCTTCCCCTTATAAGTCCTCTCAAAGGTCTCAGAGAAGCCGCCCTCCCCTGAAATACTCCCTCCACGGGGCTCCACAGTTCTCGTGCCCCGCCCCTCCCGCCAGGTGACTTCTACTGAAGCCTGGGGGCTAATGCTCCTCTTAGGCAAATCACCTATTTGTCAGCGCGCGTGCGCAGTCCCCGACTGAAGGATCTGAAGCCCTGGAGGCAGGAGGGAGATCTTCAGAGTGCCGCACCTGCGCCTGAAGTTTGCGCATCCACGTCCTCTGCCCCACACCCCAGCCTCCTGCCCCACACCCCAGCCTCCTGCCACCGAAGCCAACCTGTGGCTGCCCGTGGGCGCCTTCTAGTGGCTCTTGCAGATAATGACAACCAGAGACGAGGAGATTGGGTTTATTAGGTGGTTATTGTTGTGCTACAGGGGTCACGGCACAGGAGCAGTGCCAGCCCCAGGCATGTGATCTCCCACTGCTGATCACAAAGCCCCCGAGGCTGGGCCCGTGAGTCCCGAGGTTAGAAGTGGAACTGGAAGGCCTCGGTCACGTGCTGCTTCCAGGCGTCCAGGCTGGGCAGCAGGGAGGAGATGCCCATGACGTGCCAGGTCTCCCCATCTGACACCACCGAGGTCTGGTAGGACACCAGCTGCACGTCCGCCTCTGCCAGGAGCCCTGGGAAGAAAAACCCCTGGTTGGCACGGGGCGCGGGGGAGGAGCAGCCAGAGGCTGGGAGCCTGAGGGCCACGACCAAAGCCGCAGTGGGAGGGCGACGGCCTCAGGATCAGGGCGCTGAGGGAGCGGCCCTCGCTGTCCTGACCACCGGGCGGGGCAGGGAGGCTGGGGGCGCCGCAAAGCCAGAGCCACGGCCTGGCTGCCGGCTGCCAGCCTTATCCACTCCACAGTGAGCAAGAAGAGCAGGGGAAAGCGCCTCTGGGCCGCGGGCAAGATGGGGAGACTGGGCCCTGTGAGGGCACGCTCTGCCAGGGCGTGCTCTGCGGCTCCCGGCGGCTGGAGGCGGGCCCGGCAGGCTTGCTGTGTCAGGAGAAGGAAACCTGCCCTCCACGGCTCTGAGCCCCTGGGATGTGGCCCCATGAGCGGGCCCACATTGCGCTTCACATGGTGAACGGCCCCGTGAATAGGCGCCCTGCGGTCCGACCCCTGCCACACTGCCCTGCGACCGCCCTGCCTTGCAACCTCCGGTAGAGCACTCCCCTCTGAACTCCGTGTCTGCTTCCCAGTGTTCTGGAAAGTGGCATGACAGACCCTCTGTCTCCTGCAGATCCAGAGACGCCCTGAGGCTGGGCAGTAGCTGACAGAGGTAAAGGTCTGCGGGACCCAAACCAGGACAGGACACCCCCTACCCCACAGGCCCCTCCTCACCAATCATGGTAGGCAGCAGTGCAGGGTTGGAGGGCTGGGCGCGGAACAGGAGCAGGGGCAGGCCCCTGCGGAGAGGCACTTCTGGTCTGAAGACAGCCCCGTTGAGTGCCTGCAGCACGGGTGTGGTGCCCTGGACCAAACCCACAGCCTGGTAGGGGGCACCTGCCAGGGCCACGGTCAGGAGGCATTCCCCGCAGCCTTGCTCTCCCGGCGCAGCAGGGTTATGGGAGGTGATAACCTGCAGAGAGAGGGCAGGAGACACAGTTACGTCTCTTGGCTGCATCGTGCCCACCCTCTCCCTTGGTCCCGTGGCCGATTTGTAGGCCTTCGGCTGGGCCAACGCGGCCAGCAAATGAGGGCAGGGAAAGAGGGCAGATGGGCTACGCCCTGAGCCTCTGACCAGCAGGTTCCTGGCGCAGTGCAGCCTGGGCCCCACAAGGGAAGGCTGGGCCTGTCAGGTACAGGCAACGCCTTGGAGGGGAGGGGTGGGAACAAGGGAAGGGGGTGAGAGGCATGGCTGTGAGGACCTGTGTTAACAGGTCTGCATGGAGGGTGACCCAGCCTGGCTCCTCCTGCTCACTGCTTCCTGCATAGAACCAGTGTCCTGACTGGGATGTAGGGGTGGAGAGGGGGGT